GCTAAATGCTTTTCTTTTTGATTACTATAAATATTTGTGCTCAGCTGTTTCGTTAACCTTGTTGAGCAGTGTTTAGACCTAGAAAAATATATAATTAAAATACACAAAAGAATTTTTAGAATACCAGACGCACGAATTACAACAGAAAATAATTTTAAACTAATTAAATTGAGGCACAGTGACTAGAATGTGTGTTGCCTGTATAATGTCTCAGTTCTGGCGGTATCTATATGTGTGTATGTGCATGTGTGTGTGTGTGTGTTCACCATAAATATGCCAAAATAACAATGGTCCATTCCGGCTGTCTGCCTTACCTTACCGGCCTCTCCCCCTCAGCTTGCATTATACTGACAGGCAAATCTAATAAGCATAATGAATGAAGCACCAGCCAAGAGGATAGGCCAGGGGCGGGAGGGGAGAGGCACGAGGCCACCAGCTGAGTTTCTGTTTTCGCTCAACGTGTTGAACTTGTGCTGTCACCTGTAAAGGCAATGACAACACAGACTCCCCCGCCCCGCTTCGCCGCCCCTCGCTCTAGAGCAGAGCAGCGTCGAGGGGGAGAGCCATGTGGCGCATAGTTACAAATATCTTGGTTGAAATTCACACCGAGCAGAGATACTTTGCCTGGTGTCTGTCTATTTAATTAATTTATATATTAGATACACTTCATTAAAAATGTTTTCATATATGTTGCTTTGACCATTGTGCTTTCGCGCGTTGCTTTTGTTTTGTCTGCTCGACGTATTTGTTGATTGAGCGGCACAAATGGGCGACACCAAAAGGAAACAGAAAACAATAGCCAAACTACTCGTGTGTGTATGTGTGTATGTGTGTGGGTATCTGAAAGATACACTTGTATCGGCCGACTGCCTAATGGCTTGTAAGTGATCTATGTGCCTGTGGGCATATTTTGCGTTTTGGCCAAGCCGCCTTACATAATTCATCATCAACGAATTGCTTCCTTCCTTCCTCCAAAACAAAAAAAAAAAAAGAAAAAAGAAAATAGAAAACAAGCGACACTTGCACCGCTGACCCACTCGAATAAGGCTTTTCGTCGTGGTGCCTGTTGTCAGCTCCTCATTTAAAGCAGTCGACGAGATGCCAACAAACATCTGCTCTCTCGCTCGCACCGCCTGCTTTGGCCAGCAATTAACGCACTTTGAGCCGCACAAAGTGGGTCAAGTGTGTTTCTGTGGGTGGCGCTTGTTGGCTGAAGGTTCTGTGAAGTGCTCGGCACTTCGTAGTCGTCTAATGAAATGCATTTCAGTTCTCATTAGGCAGGCCATTTTGTTATTTAAACATGAAGGCCTAAAACACTGTGAGGAAGGTGTGTGTAAGAGTGTGAGTGTATATTTGTTTAAGGAAGTGCAGCTGATAGGTCGAAAATTCAGCCATTTGAGATTACAGCGAGCTAAGTTCAAATAGGCTGTGCAGAAATTTCAAGCAAGTATAAGTTTGTAAATCGATTTGAAAGTATTTTCTGAATCTTTCAAGAAGCATCTGAAATATTTGTATAGTTTTATGGTATTGAGATTAATTTATACAGAGGTCATCTATGTCTTTTAAGCAGAGATATTTATATTTGTTTTACAAGGAAAATTTGGTAGGAAAACCTTGAGTTTCTTCTTTAAGAAATATTTCAGTTAGATATATGTATGTATCATCGCAGATTCCAGCTCTTTAATGTCAACCCTGACCAACCTGTTTACGCCAAGTAAAAGCATTTTTTCTAACAGTAAATATAAATGCTGTTAAAGTGCTTTTCCTTTCTGTGTGTAGCTGAACAACACCACACACATATACGCACACCTTTTGACCCCAACGAACCCGGGTATATATGTATGTTTACACAGGTACACTCGGTTAGTCCGCAACTCTCTCTCTCTCTCTCTCTCTCTCTCTCTCTCTCTCTCTCTCTCTCTCTCTCTCTATCTCGCTCTGTCTCCTCTACTTTGTTAATTTTGCATTTAATTAAAGGGCATCTCTCACCCTGTGTTTGTTGTTGTTTTCTTGCAAAACTTGTAATGCGCTGGCACTTAATGCAATTTTGATGTTTTTGCGTCACCTGCTCTTGATTTCCAGCAGCAAAAACAACAACAACACCTAGGTGAACAACAATATTCAAATAAAACTTTGCATTTGCGATTGTGGTTAAAGTTTTCATTGTTTTTTCTCCCTTTAGTTTCTTTTTTTGGGGTGCTATGAATTTTCTTGCAGCATTCTGGAAAATGCGTTGACTGCCAAAGCTAGCCATCTCTCTTTCACCTCCCTTTGGCCATTCTGGTGCTTGCCACAAATGCCATGCTCCACACACCCACACACACACACACACGCATATGTCGAGTCATTCTCTCTGTGCACTGTTCCATGCCATGGACCTTTCAAAGAAGGGGCGAAGAGCTCTGGCTTCGACCAGCCAACACGCAGCTGCGTGCTTGGGGTGCTGCTGGGGAGTCTTGGTTAAAGCTTTTTTGGTATCAGCACTCGCAACATCCTCCGCAACTTTGCTTTGTCATGTGCAATATTTCTTTCTTGTCTTTTGTCTAAGAGCTCGAAACGCCGATCTCGGCAAATGGGCAGAAGCATTTACCCAAAAAGCATTCACAATAGCTGCAAAGGAAGTTGACTTCACTAAAAGCGAAGTCGCTGCAATGTGCATTATGCTAGTGACTACTGCTAGATAATAATAGTGGTAATGACTTTATGCGAAGAGAATACAATACAATTTGTTAAGCCAGAGCGACAAAGGCATTCAGGCATAAATTGGAAAAGTGTTTTTGTTATTAATTACTTTCATTGGACATTTTCTTAAATGAATTTATTACAAATTTTTTGAGGCGAAATTCTGGTACATTTAAAAGTAAATTTGTTTAAATTTCATGAAAGTTTTTATTGAATTATACTTAACAAAACTTGCTTGAACTTATTGTGAAATTGCGGAATATTCGTATAAAAGTTTATTAGTAATAGAAATTATTAATATAAAATTCGAATACGGTTTGAAGATAAACTGCAAATACTTTAAAATTCATAGAGAATTCTGATATATATATATATATATATATATATATATTTTTTTTTTTTTTTTTTTTTGATAAATTTGCAGAATTTAGTGAATAACTAAAAATTCTGTTTAAATGTTTTTATGAAAAATTATCAGCTTGTCTAGAAGTTTATGGAAAGTTCTTTTTTTATGCTTTAGATAAATATACATTTGCTGAGATGGTCACACTTTCTTTGTTAATTTAACTAAAATACTTATGCGGTCACACTGGGCAGTGTTACCGTTGCAGAAATTTATCTGGTCAGCATTTTCTGTAGATTAACAGATTAATTAATTCACTATCGATACAAAATTCTTTAATTAATTCACTATCGATACAAAATTGGGGTGGGGAAAAGTATTAACAGTGATCGATAATGCGATAATCATATACGATAGTAGGCCGTGACTAAATATCTGCTCTGGGATGACAAAGGAAGTTACAGAACACTTTCTCTTATTCAACTAGAATCGAAGCAGGCTCTGTAAATCATTTGCAATCCACAGAGCAAAGCCATTGTCAATTCATTCGTCAGTGGGACGGCTTACTGAATAGAGTTCTGAACCCAGTCATCTCGGCAAAATAAAAAAATCAAATAAAATAAAAAACATTTACAAAAAAGCTAAAAACATCAAATAAATAAAAAACAAGAACTCAAACAAAAAATCATCATACAATTAAACGAGAATTGTGCGCGTCGTAAGCCTTAAGTTCAGACTCTCGGTTTTACACTCTCGAACTCGAATTATTTTCCAAGTTTTTCTTCTGTGCTCGCTCGCTCGTTTGTTCAGTGAATAAAATAATTTTTTTTTTTTTGCATTCGTGTGTGTGTGCTGTCATTGCCCTTGTTGCTGAAAAGAAGCTGCTGCTGTTTCTATTCTAGTCTGAGTGGAGCATTAATCAGCCATTTACAGTTACGCAATGGATAACTTGAAGGCCAACACAACGGGCGCCTATTTGTGGCATCCCCCGCAGCAGCAGCAGCAGCAACAGCAGCAGCAGGCGCCGCTAATGCAGCAAGCGGCGGTGCCACCGCCACCGCAGCAGCCACCGCCACCGCTGCTGAGCGGCATGCCGCAGCCGGTCCGTCGGTTTGCCGGCAACAAGAACAACTACAACTATATGCAGAGCCAGGCCCAGGCGGCCGCTGGCCTCATGATGGGCGCCAGCAATCCGGGCGGCCAGATAATGGGCATGGGCTCGCCCAATCCCAATGGCTATCGCAAGCGCCAGCCGATGAACACTGGCTACAACCCGGGTGGTTTTCAACATAACGGTAAGACACGGCGCAAATAGTCGCCAAGTGCAAATACACACACACGCACACGCACAAAGGCATACAAATACATGTGAATGTAGGCATATTTTTCGGTAGATGACACAGCAGAAAAAAGTTTTCGGTTCAGTGTTGGGTAAAGCGTTGTAAAAGCAACCCTATTGTAGTGTTGCCTAAGCAGTGTTAGAAAATATGTTGATGCTTCCGTGTTGGGAAACGTATGATAAGCAGCCATGCAGCTGCTGTCTTAAAAAACGAATGATGACAATGCCAATGTTTATATAATTTATATTAAAAATATTAATATAATATTAAAAATGAGCATTAATAGTGTCTCGTATATTTGAGATCTTTTATTTATTTTTTTTTTTTTTCATTTTTATTTATTTATTTTATTCTTGTAATATCCCAATCTACAACATTTGTCGCTAAGCACATTCAAATTGAATTCTTGTACTTACTACTCACTCACTGTTTGAATGGTGTCTTTCTATATCAATATCTATAACTATCTGTATATATAAATATATATTTACTCTATAGTATATATAATATATATTTATGTATTATAAATATATATTTTTTATATAGTATATATTTATATATATATTAAAATTCTTTAATCCTCTGGCATAATAACTAAACCATTTTTCTTTTCCATTTTTGTATTCTCTTTGCAGGTAAGTCGCTGTTTTCTATACCCGAAAATGTTGTTGTGCTTGAGAGCCGTAAGTACATTTCAAAACTTATCAAAATCTATGACACACTTTTAGATACACTACACTACGCAACGCACACACACATACACACTACACTACTTTACTACACTTTAATACAGCTGCTAAAGAATGATTGCCAAATGTTGTACAGTGCGCGCCAGGTGAAGTGCAGTTCTGCATCAATTTCTATGATTCATTGCACAAGTTTCCTCTAAATACCCGAAAAAGATCAAAAAGCATTTCAATTTATTGCATTTTTGCATTTTGTGGAGAAACTTTTGCGTTCGATTTATTTCCATTGCAATTTTCTAGACATTTTTTCTCATTTTGTCTTGTCTCTGAATTTTCAATTGCATTTTCCATAACAATTCATGACGCCATCAACTTATATATATTTTGAAAGATATTTTGCTATTTCTATATATATATATATTTTTTTTTTGCTCTTTGCAATTTGCATAATATTCAATGCACACGCAATTTTCGTAGGGAGAAACCATCGAATGGTCGAACCACTTGCCATGAGTGGAGAGTATCATCGGCAGCGTATCGATTAGCTAGGGAGCGGGGAGCTGAGTATAAAGGCAACGCACGTGCCTTGGGTAATAGAATTTTATCATTATAGCACAGCGTTGCCTTTATTTTAGGTTAGCTCTTTGGTTTTTAGCATGCACTTCGAGCAGCAGAGCAACATATGCATTGCAGCACATTTCGACTGCAACGGGATTTTTATGGTCTATTGTGGAGAGAGGTGAAGACAATACTTCTACAATAACTCTTCATTCAATTGGAAGAGCATTCCAAATATTAGCAATTTTCTCTATTTCATACACATTTTTCATTGGATATGCAGCAAATAAATTCTAAACAAATATTATTAAACATATTCTTGATACAGTCATCAAAAATATATGCGCCCCCAGATTTACTTTTTATTCCATACACATTTTCCATTAGAAAAATGCTCAGCTGGAAAATTCCATGCGCATAATTTGTTCAACTACCAAATTACCGCAATTTTCCTAATAGGCCGCAGCAAAATTTTACGCCCAACTCATCAAGAGTGTGTCATAAAAATATGAAATTGCCATTTAAATAATCATGCACACGCACACACACTCGCGCACACACACAAGCACACGCACATTGCTAACATATTTGCACCATAATTAAAATAAATGTTTTCAATGCTCAATAATAGCCAAATAAATTAATTTTAATTGCAAGTCTGAGAAAAAGCCGCTAAAAATAAATAGCTAAAAGCAAGCACGCGCTCTAGCTCTCTCCCTCTCTCTCTCTCTCTACCTCTCTCGCTCACTCTAGGTCTGTCTCTTTTGCACTCTCTTGCCAAGAATAGTATATTTTTGGCTAGCCAATACGCTGCCTGCGCCACGCCCACCAAACCAAATGTCGCAGGTGGCAAGATGGCAAATATACAAAAAACAGCCAAACAAATATATATATCATATATATATATAAAAGCAGGAAACACTTAAAAATACATAAAAATACCAATGGGCCATATCTTGTGGGGGCGGGGAAGGCGTGTTGGTGTTAATATTTTGGCATATTTATGGCTCTGCCTCTGCCGCCGCCGTCGCCGCCGCTGCCATCGTCATCGTGTGAAGATTTCTCTCGTCAGCGAAGATGTTGATGGCTTTTCTGTAAAGGGATCAACATCAAAACCACTCGAAGATTTATGCGTGCGTTCATTAAACAGCAGCAGTCAACCCAAGCCCCCGCACCTTCCCCGCACCCAGCCTAGCTTTATAAATGAAATGCGCGACTTTATTTGCTTTTTGGTGTTTTCTGTGTCGGTTCGGGGTTGTCAGTCAGTCCGTCAGGCTGGCTGGCAGGCCTTATCACTGTGGTCGAGTGCCAAAAAGGCAAAGTTGAGCTGTGTTTGTTTATCTTTGCGCCTGTGCGCAGCTGTTGACCCAGCGCAGCACAGAAAAAAAAAAACACTCGCACACATACGCACACACATGTAGATAACGTATTTTCATATGTGAGCATTTTTTTCCCCCTATAACAACTTTAGTTGCTTAATTTTCAGCTCGCTCTGTGCGTTCTAGGTGCGAAGTATAGTTACGCCCCCTGCCCTTGCTCTCACGCCCTCGCCTCACCCTCACCCTCCCACTCATTCAATCTGCCTTTATTTGCCTTCTGGTTTGTTTTGTGGCTTACTTTTGCTGATTGGCAGCGTATGTCCACTGCCCCCAGTCCATCCCCCCTGTTTCTTCTCCCCATCTTTACCAATTATATATGTTTTTTCTGTACATATTTGCAGTGTACTTTCCTTCATTTTTTTCGTTGAATCTACTGTTTATATTTGCTTACGTAATGCAATAGTTATTATATTACGAAGCGCAGCTGAAATTAATTGAATTAACTTGTTTTTTTTTTCGGTGTGCAAGGTCTTTTCTTTGCTGTCTAATCTTGGGAATTTATTGTGTAAATATTGTGGGCGTTGCTTATTTGTTAATTAATTAAAAAGAAACTAAAGGAGGTTGTAGTCGAATGAAGGAGGTTGAATAGTTGTAGAATGGTAAATATGATATGTAATGGGACGACCATCTCAAGGAGGATCAATATACATATACATATAAATATAGACAGTTATAAATAGACTCTCATAATACTTTATTTCTCCTCTTGCTGTCCATCGATATACAAATTTTACTTAGTTGAAACATCGTATTTCATTTTTACATTAAAACATCCATTCGTGTATTAAAAAAAAAACATTTGCAATTTCAAGATTAAATTAACCTTTGCACCGGCAAAAAAGAGGGAAAAAAGAGAAAGGAAAAACAATTCGAGCAATTCTTCGCCTGTCGCTCGTAAATCATTTGCTATCCAGCAAAAACTCGCACAATAAATTAATTCACAGTGCAATACGAAAAACAAGGCAAACATCGGCAAGCGGAACCACAAATTTGGATAGCCGCAGTTGTATGGGAGAGAGGATAGGTCGAGTGTGGGGAATGTGAGTAATAGGAGGAGGGGGAAGGGACGCGTAACCAAAACAGAAATATAAATTGTGTCGCTTGCACATTTTATGGTAATTCAATAAAATTGAAAATGACAAATTGTATTATGTTGCGGTCAGTTGAATGGGCCCCGGGCCAGTGGAGCGTGTTGTTGGACTGTGGTAATACGATTGGACAGGGCCATAATTAAATCCCTGTTGAGAAACAATCAAAGTTGGCAATGCGTAATGGTTTTTAACTTGGCCAAAACCACCCCCACCCCACACCTCTTCAACTACCCCCTCACTCGCGCACTCTGTCTCACATCCATCAATCAAAGGCGATCAATCAAAGTGGTTGTCAACGGTGCACGCATCAGGCTGCTCCTGGTGCTGCTGCTGATGATGTTGCCACTGTTGCCGTCGCCTGTCGCTAGATGGCGTGTCGAACAAGAAGAATGTCGCTGTCATCGCCTGACCCCAACTTTTCGATAAACCCTCCCCCAACCGACCCCCTTCCAGCCAGCGCACTAACGAGCACTAATGGGCAATAAGGCACAGCCAAGCCCTCTGCCTCTCAGCCCCTTTTCATGCTCTTAAGACGAAAGAATGTGCGCAACTATTGAACCAAAAATATTGTTCAAGTGACTTTAATGCTAGAGAGGGTGTGAGCTAAAGAGAGACAATATGGCTTCGTTTAACTCCAATCAAATGCACGTGATTGATGACTGCAACCGGACCGTATAAACAGATAATATCATCGTGTCTAATATTAAGGTTGCTTTAAGTTTAACAATTTAACCCAAGTGGCGGTTGACTAAACTAACTTGATATACCAATTCATCAGGTTGCTCCTCGAGCATTGGCAGCAGAGAAATTTATTGCTTGACTCAGGGATAGGAATTGATGAAGCTTTAAGGTAGGAAGAGTTATAGTTTATGTAAATTTAAACTGTCCTTCAGTGCGGAATAGCCTTTTTGGTTTAGTCTCTTAATAGACAGCATTATATTTTATAATTATTTGCCCTACTCAAAATCGAAATCGATTTGAGCTAATTTCTTTGGCAAATATTCCTTCATATTGCAGTCTTTAGCCTTGACTGCTTTAGAAATCAATTTGATAACATGGTCATCAAAATTATATTTAAACAAGTTCCGTCTTGAGTTGTTTCATTTCTCTCTCTCTCTCTCTCTCTCTCTCTCTCTCTCTCTTTGTGTCTGTCTTTGACTGCACCAATACCTCATCTTCCACTTCATTTGCATACAAATTATGGTCTAAACGTTGCGCATAATCAACAATTTGCACAGAGAGCATCTTCACACTCCTTCCCATTCCTACTTGACACCCCCTCCTCCCACTTCAACTCTCATCCTGCCACATGAAGGCAACCTGTGTGCTGTGCATAGCTCAGAAGTAATTGACCACATGCAGCCACTGTGGAGCATCTCCCACCTAGCTGCTGCTGCTGCTGCTGCTGCTAAATGTTGCCTGATGATTTTCCTTAATGTTCCATTTCATAATTTTATGAAGCAAAGTACTAGCGCGCCCCGCCCCCCAGTCCAAGGCAACGCCCTCAACGGGCCCCTGCTCTGGTCATATTTGCTTAATTTATGCCGACAGCGGCTGCTGTGGCATTTCTGCAGCTTCCTCTTGCTCTTCCCCTCCCTCTCTCTCACTCTCTCACCCTCTGCCTCTACTTTGCTACTTCTAATAACTTGTAATTAATTTTTGCAGCTGGCTTTTCGCATGCATAAAACCAAAAAAATGGCTTTAAACTTTGCTTCAAACAACAATTTGTTGTGATATCATTTTTTGTCCTTCAAGCAATTAATTTTGCATTTAACTAATGCGTTTGGCGTTTTACAAAACTTTGCACATGCAACGCGCATGTGACACTGTCACAGCAAGTGGCACAGCAGCAACTGCAGCTCCGCAAATTACAGTATCAAAATTGTCCATCAATTTGCTTGCTGCTTGGCTCTCCTCCCCCTTCCCCTCTCAGCGCTTATTAGCCATGCCGCACGCTAATGCCAAAAGG